CCAGAATTCGGACCACCTTAATCTACGAGGTTCACACTTGTTCTGACGATGCAATGAAATGTGAAAAAGTTTTTCACTTTCTGCCCCTCTAAGTTTGATGGTTGCAGATTTATGAAATCGAACTTTCCGTCACTACTCTCCTTACTTAATTTATACATTTTGTATAGTAAAATGTTCACATTTTTTAAACAAATGCTTCATTTCTTGAAATTAAAATTTCACTTCATCTAATTTTAAATGTAAGTAAATAATACTTACGTATTAGCAGTTTTTTTTAATTTATTTTAAATAAGAATGCACCTTAGCAATTATTAAATTTTTTGCTATTAGCTTTAAGAGAAATAAAAGAAAATGATAGTATCCTTTTTAGATTTATATACACTTTTCATACTTTTTCTGATGAGAAATAATAGTAAAATACAAATTCGTGCAGTTACATTTTTTATCATTCATATCATTTTAAAAAAATTTAAATATAAAAGAAACTCTAAATTTTTGTAAGAGAAGAGCGATGTCTTATTGAAACAATTTTTTTCTCCAGTCGAGTGCTTTTGTTTGGCAACAAGTTATTCAAGAAGACTGTTGCCAAAAAAAAAGCACTCGACTTACAAGCTATTCAACTATTCAACTCGATTCAACAACTATTCAAGCTATTCAACTCGACTATCAAGCTATTTTCAATAAAATAATTTTTAAAAAAAAGTTATTCAAATGTGTTTAGTTTACACTTGTTGGTTGTCAAAATAATATTCACTCACATTTAAATGTAAAATTATTTATTAAATATTATTTAATGGAAAATAAAGTGTGATATTAATAAATACTTATGGTAATCTTAAAAGTTTCAAGAAAGTTTAATAAAATATCTGTCATGAAATGGATTATATTTAATATCATGCAGTTATGATTTCAGATCCAAGTATCTTAAATATTTTTTTCAGAATTATATTTCATTATTTTTGCCTGTAGATATTAAGACATGTTTCCCATTTAAATTGATAGCCTATAATATTTTTGAGTGATACTGTGTCTCCTTTGTTCTTTAGAAAGTTTTGTACAAGAAATACAAGAAGAAAACTTCAACCATTTAGTTTCCTTCTGCATGTAATACATGGAAATTCCATTGAGTTAAAAGATTTGGAGCAAGTTCTATCATTTTATTTTTTTCTGAAATTCTATTACTTTTTTTATGCAGATATTTAAATTTGAGGGATTAGTTTAAATGTGCAAAAAATGTAATTTAAAAAGGTAATTTATGTCCTAACCAGTATAAATGCACCTGTTTCACCACTAACAGAATTTTTAATGCAGCAGCATTTTTTCAGTATATAAACGGTAAGCTTGGTCTCATATTTTAATTTGTTTAAATAAAGTAGAGTTAAATTTTATTTTTTTAATGCATTATACACCATGTATTTAGAAAAGGCAAGGCTGTTATTAATAATTACCGGTTTAGTATAGTGGCATGCATATATATATATATATATATAGATAGATAGATAGATATAAAATGATGGCAACTACTTTGCACCAATGTGATGTTTAACCAAGGGCAGTTTTTTACGCAGTGATGCAGTGAAAAATCAAGAATGTTCCTTTACATTACTTGGTGTAAAGTAGCAACTCCTATTTTCGGTATTCAGGAACACATATATTTATAATTAGAGTAATATAAAATAGAATATCGCTAAATATATGGAGCTCCAATGAACAACGAGCTTCAGATAGGTCTAAACTCTATCAATTATTAGCGATTAGATTTAATTGCACCCTTTGAAGTTTGTAAGAACACTCTATTCGGCATTAACTTGAGATAAAGTAATCATTCACGATATTTTTAGAGTTTTTCAACACGGCATTCTGATAGGTATTACACCTCAGTTTTTACAGTGTGTGGTAACTGTTTACCGAAAATTCTCGTTTTCAAAATGATACATTTTATTATCTCCTAGTTAAAATACGAACTGAAAAGTAAATTTGACCGAGTAAATGGTTTTTATGCGATTCTCGAAAGAATCAGGAAAATATTATCAATTTTTTTCTCTGTATTTTCCAAATAGCATAGTAATAAAACCATATTTTTTGTTAATTTTGCCGAAATTCATTACCAAAGAGCTTCAATAAAAATTTCCGTCTTTTTTAGTGTTCCTATAAAGCTAGAAACACGGTAAATTTTAAGATATTCTGGTAGTTGTGATCATATCTCTTTTCTCAGTTTGGATTATCCTGAAAATTTGCAAATTTTGGTAAATTAGCATGAAATTGGTAGTAAAGCAAATTCGCACGATGATTTGTCTCACTGAGATTCAAAATTTATATTAGCATTTCTTAAGAATTAGAATTGAATTAAAATTATTTTAGATTTTGCAAAACATTATTCTGTAAACAAAATAAAACAACGAATTTAATTTATGCGTTACTAGCCGCCGTTGGCGACCAACTTGGTCATCTTTCAAAGTTATTTTGTACAACATATGAACTTAATAGTAACTAAGCCAAGGACAGAGCCCAACTGTATTTAAATGCTCTAATTCTTCATCCCTTCCTCTAATCCTAACACCTTAATTAGTTTTAAACAATATATTAACGAAATTTTTCACCGTCCAGTTGTTATCGCGACTTTGCTCACGTAGAAGGACTTCGATTGTGATTTTAACTCTTTTCAAGGGATATCAGAGATATTGTCTAATTTCCTTAATAATTTTAACAATATTTTAAAATCTATGCGGCAGACATTAAATCACACAAATCACCGTTAGTATGAGTTCAGAACATTTAAGCGCAGAAAGAAGCAGGAGTATCAATATCATTTCCATCTTAGTCGTGAAATAAGATAGCATAAAAGAAACAATTGAGTGCTGTAAATACACACGCCCCCGAACATATATGTATCCATTATACATATAATATATATATATCCAGTATCCAGTATCCAGTGAACATATAATATATATATATATCCAGTAAATATGTCGTATACAGCATATTTACTGGAATAACAGTAAGTGGCACCTGTACTGTTTATGTTTAAAATCTACCATTTTAGAAATGATTATAAGTAAGTCAAATTAGTTACTTATTAGTTATTTATTACACGTCTCGAACTACACGACATATAAAATGGTATAACAGTAAGGGGCACCATAATACTGTTGATGTTCAAAACCTACCATTTAAGAAAGGATTATAAGTAAATCAAATTAGTTACTGATTAGTTATTTATTACACGTCTCGAACTATATGACATATAAACTGGTCTAACAGTAAGTAGCACCATAATACTGCTTATGATTAAAATCTACCATTTTAGAAAGGATTATATGTAAATCAAATTAGTCACTTATTAGTTATTTATTGCTAGTAACTAAGTTTTTATTTTTATATTAAGTTTCTATTTTTATTTCAAGTTTTTGTTTTTTCATTATTATTCTAAACAAATACCTAACGTATACGTAATTACCACTTAAATCACTACTTGACACTTTCAACCAGGGATTAACACACCTTTGTGCCCCACTTTGTGATTAGAGTTCCCCTGCAGCACTAAAATTGGGAAAAAGGTAAATTCCTCTAAAACTTGTTTATTTTATTTATAAAATAATAATCAATTGCAATCAATAACCATATTCGCTAATACAATAATAGAGGACAGCGAATATTCTTGGAAGATGAGTCATCTTGTCCGTCACGAGGAAAGACTTAAGAAAATCTGACAAAATGAATACTGAATTAATGTACTTATAGTGTTGCCAATCGGTTAAAAAATACCCTGGTTTATGGTACCACATAGGAGAAATATATTTATAGATTTCATATTTTCATAAAAATCTGATCGTCAAAATTCTGCATCAACGTTGACTTGTGAAATAAAATAATCGCTAGGTCATCCTCATAGAGTTTTTTTTTCTGTAGGTCATTATTTTAAGACTGTTAACAAGAATAAAAATTAATCAGTTTTGTAAGGTAAGTTAATTAGATTACACTTTTAAGCAAATCAAAATTATCTGCAATAAAAGATGTTTTTGCATAAATCAAATGGTAATTTAATAAAATAGCTTGAAAACAACTACAGCTTTAATATTTATTTAATTTGTTATAATTTTTTCAAATTAACTCATACAATAAGAGTTATATAATCAGTATTTGCAATATTACATTTTCAATACTTTATTCGCAATATTATACTATCAAAGTTAAATTTTGTTGCTTTCAAAATCGTTTTCTAAATATTAAGTAATTACTATTTCATTTGCAATGTTGCATTGTTTATTAAATTCATAGTTTGGATATAATTTTTCTTTTATTAGTTAGGAGGAAACTTCTTAAACTGAGAAAAAAAAGTTAACCAAACTACCAGATTATGGTTAAAAAAATTTACCGAAGCGTTTGGTAAAGGTTTTGGTAAAACTAGAAATAAAATATGATTTTAGAACGTGTGATAAAATTCTTAAATGTCGTAAAATTTATCATTATACTTTAGCGCACCGTATAAAAACCATTTATTCGTGTAAATTCACTTTCCAGTTTTGTATATTTTTCTAAATGTGTAGTAAGTAGAACTGTAATTTTGAGAACCCGAATTTCTGATAAGTCGTTATCGTATGACTGGAAAGATTATCAAATGAATGGTGTAAAAACCGTATGTTTTGGTTTTCTAGATCAAAATTATTATTTTTTTTTTTTGTATAAATGCTATCATTCAGAACGGTAATTTCTCCAGAATTTTTTTTCCGTATCTAAATAATCGAAGCCAATTTGTGAAATCTTTGTAATAATTTTATACTTTTTTTAAAGAACAAAAATAATAATTTTTTGTTAGTGTTATAATAATTTTTTGTTAGTGTTATAATAATATTGTTGCATAGCATTATTATCTAATTTCAATTTTATTCCCGGCAATAATTATAGTTATGAAACAAATAAAGAATCTTTATCGCGCAGGTGAAAACTTTCTATAAATCTCGTATCAGTTTAAGTCTCCATAAAAAAGCTTATCGCCAACCTTCAAAACTTTACACACTTAAAGGTGATAACAAAACTGGAAATCTGGTGTGAAACAACACATGTTTCCATTCTGTTGGAAAATTCCTGTGCCTACTATATAAGCTCAGCAACGTTTGCATTCGCTTCACTTACAATTACAGTCGTCAACTGAAAGTAAGTTATTCCAAAAATGTTTAAGGAAATTTTGCTCTTGTCTCTGGTAGCTTTTGCTGCTTGTGGTCTTCTCGGAGGATGGGAAACTGCCGACGTTGATGACTCTGACGTAAAAGTAGCTGCTGGTCATGCTGCTGAAGCTCTGTCCAAGCAATTTGCATCCAAATACCACCACAGACTCGTCAAGGTTCTCAAGGCAAAGAAACAGGTAAAAATACAATTATTTACTTTACAATTCTATTTTCTCGAAATTTATATCATAACCTTTTGCAGACAATTCTCTTCTAGCAAAATTATGGGATTGAAATCGATTTATAGAAAGTTTTCATGTTGTTTATTACCAAAAATTAATTAAATTAAAAATATTTACTTTGGTAGGAATGTTGGTGATATTATGAAAAGTTTACTGACTGTTAAGTGTTGGCTTAAACTTCTGTGTTTAAAAATAACTAAATTTATAAATTCTGTGTAGAAAACTACAAATAAACTCGTTGAGAAATAATCAAATGAGCTAACGCAGAACGTACAAGAGAAAATAGCTCATGAATGTTAGCCTTTATTCCACGCTAGCCTATACAACACAATTCTTTAAACCAAGTTCTTCATCTTTATTTATTTACTGTATTTTTTGAATTTATAAACACAGATTTGTCGCGCAAACCAAAGTGGAAAAATAGCTTACCATCGACATTAAAAAATATATAAAGTTTATGGAAAGTATAGTTTTCAGCTGCTCATATAGGGGTTAAAAAGAAGATTTATTTTCAAGTTTCTTAAGCAATTCGAATTACTGAATTAGATTGATGCCTAGCCCAGAATGATGATGTGTGGAAATTTTATTTACTAACTTCTTTTTATTTATGGAAATACGAAGCATTGTTGGCTGCGTTTATTTATTTTGATTAAATATTTATTAAATATTTAATAAATACTTAATTAAAATTTGAAACATGTTATAGCAAAATTAATATTTTCAAGTTTTTTTTTCTTCATAAATTCTTCCACAGACTTGTTAAGGACCAGCTGTTACGTAGAATTTAATTGAGAGTTATTATCAAATTGGCGGCATTTCAATAATCAGTCAGTTTTTTCTTCATTAGAGCATTGATTTTCTATTACAATTACAATTGATTTTCTTTAATCAACAAAAAACAAAATTAACTTCTTTTTCTACAGATGTTTATATAAAAAATCAGTGTGTTTTACGAGTGTAACTTTGGGGGTTAGTCTAGTATGGAGATTAGTTGGTTAATTTCATTAATTACTTTTGGGATTAGTTAGTTACAGGATTACTTACGACAAATAATTTTCCCAGTTAATTTTTGCCCGGATAAAATTTTTTCCTACATGTTTGAGAAAATTATTTTCCTTTAAGCTTCTATAGTTTGATATATTCAATTAAATATTCTGATAATTCAGGAAATAATCAAAATAAGAACGTTGTTTCTAATTGTATGACTGTACTAATTATATGGCTATGTTGAGAATAGTATGTTTCTAAAAATAAATTTTTTGTGCTTCAATATATGACTATATTAAGCTAACTGAATAAAGCTTATAAAGAAAAATAAATTTATGAAATGAATACGTTACACAGAATTGTATTATTATATTAAGCTATATTAAATTAATTATATAGTACTGCAGGCACATTATTAAATTTAAAGATATTAAAATTGCTTCTTAATTAGTTATACTGTTGCGTGAAACGCAGGACTGTTAATAATAGTTTGAAAAGAGCAGTTTTATTTTTTAAATAATTGTATTTTTAAGAAAAATAGAAAGAAAAATCTATCAGACTTGATACGATTTAAAAGTTTTAGAAAAACTTTTTTAAACGTTAATTGTGTTCATATATTTTTCAGATAATGCATTCATTAAAAATATTATAAAATCTTTCTCCGAAAAATGTATTTATTACATTCGAGTATTCAAGAATATTATTTTTATTAATTTTTTCATCAAAAGTCATTATTATTACTTTTTTTTAAAAATTTATGCTAATTTTAAAGAAGAATGAGCTAAAGCGGTAATTACTATAATACTAGTTATTATAATTGCTGTTTAAATAGTCTTTAAAAAATTATTAATGTCATATCTGGTGTAAATGCAGTATATTTTTTCCATTCTTTTCACAATTTTGGATAATAATAATTTCAAATTTTAAATCAAATATAGGCTGACAAATTAGAACAGTTTAACAAATTCTCAAATTTTGCTAGAAATTTCAATCTTACATTTATTCGTTACGTATTCCAATATTTGCTTCTTCTTTTTGCTTTCTTTGCTTTTTTTTTTGCTTTCTACCACCCATTTTTGAAGGAATAAATTAAAATTTCTATTTCACATGATTTAACGATGTATTTTCCTACTTTAAATGGTCCGGAATTGGTCACAGTGTTTATCGAAATTAACAGCCATTATATTTTTTTCAATATTTGAATAGAAAATTCTTTTTCGTGCTTTATTTTTATAAGTTAAGCTCTTTTTATAAAGCATATTTTTTAATTTAATTAATAATTATTCGTTGCACATTTTGTGCAACTAAATTAAAATCAAGTAAATAGAAAAGTCTAGAGATGAAAAGTTTTCTATATTTTAAAGTTGATTTAAAAACATTTATTTTACAAAGTGTAGCTAGAAATATGAGATTACATTATGAGGTTAATTATTGCATACTATCTTCCCCTGAAATGGGCTGGTATATTATTGTTTCGTTGGATATGAGAAAGTTTGAAACTACTACTATAGATTACTTATTCCAGAATGTAGACCTTTATAAAAAATTGCTCAAACTACAAAAAACAAAAGTCCTTTTATGCAGAGAGAAAATATTTATCAATGCTTGAAGTAAAAGATAAGGCTAGTTTCGAGTTATCAACTTTAATAGTTTCTCCCAAATTCGCATATTTTTTTGTTAGAAGGAGAACTCTTTTTCTTAGTTTTTAACTAATTGCAGAAGGCTGTTTTCAAATAAACTGCATGTAGCTTTGAGATTTTGGTCACTGGACTTTTTTTTAACAGGGTTTTAATTTTGTTGCTCATTTATGAAAAAATGGAAGCAAAATTGTTCAGAAAAGTAACAGAATGTAAATAAAAAAAATAGGTATTTCTTTCTTTTTATGCACATTCAATGTTCTTTTAAAGGTTGTTGCTGGATTGAACTTCAGACTCGATGTTGTAGTTGGCTTGACAACCTGCCAGAAGAGCGAAATGTCTCATGAAGAAGCTGGAGATTGTGAACTTCAAGACACCGTCGTAAGTGCCATAGTCTCTTAAGACATTTAAATTATTTATTGCTTTTCATTTAGAATAAATCTAAAGTCAATTTCATTATTTATGCACTCCAATTTTATGAAAAGTTAAAAGAAAATATAACTAACTACTTGTTAAGGTTTCAAGATAAAGTTAAAAAAAATACCCAATGCATATAAATTGTCATTTCAGACAAAGATAATTTTATCATGCATATAACACCATGTCGAAGATAATAATGAAATCAAATCATTTCCGTTAAAAATGCTAATAAAAAGAATACTATTAAATTAAGAAAAAGCTAGTTGTAACATTGTGACCTATACTATTTTAAACAAAATTTACATTTGTAAAATAATGATCAATTTTTGAAAAGTTGCATTAAAAATTGCTTTAAAATTATCATAATATTCTTTAATATTTTTTTCTTTTCTATTACTTCTATAACTTTCCTTAAAAAAGCAGATGAAACTTTATAGTAATGCCTTTGTGTTAATAATAATTGTACAATAATATAAATTGCAAAGAATAAAAGTTTCGAAAAGTGCAAAAATTAAAAATAAAAACTACGAATACAATTTATACTTAAAAAAAACATTTATGATATTACGATTAATTACGATTAAATATTACGATTGAAAAATACTCATTTATCTAAAAGAAAATTCAAATTTTCTACATAGTCAGAAATATTTGGCTACATGAAATTTAATTTCATTGTTCCCAAAAAAATATTAGGTTAGGGTAAATTATGCTAGAATACATAGTTTCGTGTATTGCATCACAAATCTAAAGAAATTTTGATAATATCGGCGAAAGCAATTAATGCTCTTCTTTATTTATCCTAAAAATTGTAATATAGAATTTTTGACTTCACACTGAGAAAAAAAGTATGGTCAAAACTACCAAAATGTGGTAAAATTTACCATATTCTGATAGTTTTGATCATACTACTAAAATCATATTATTTTAATGTGGTAATTTTTCATTCTGGTTCTATGAAAACACTAAAAAGCCCATCTTTATTATATGCAATATAATTTAATAAATTTGGTAAAATTTGATAATTCGATCTCGATACCCTAGAGCATGGCACAAAAATTATTTATTTGGGTAAATTCGCTTTTTAGTTTAGTATTTTTTATTAAATAGGTGGTAATAAGACCTATAATTTTGAAAGCTAGAATTTCTAATAAACCGTTACTATTTAAACGGAAAAAGTACCAAATAAATAGTTAAATGCAATAAGTTTTGATTTATTAACCAGAATTAAGGTTATTTTTACCCAAAAACTTTTAATACCACAAAGTGCTCTAATTTTACCGGATTTCTTTGTCTCCGTGCTCTAATGAAATTTGAAGACTTTGATGTCATAGTCATTAGCATTAGAAAGCCAAAAGCGAACAAAAAACTCCTTCGCGTTTAAAAACATTATTTAAAAACGTTACTGATTCTTAAAAAACATTTGAAAATCTCTATTTTATGTGTTTAGTTTCTTAAAAAAGGAATTATCAGAATGACATATTTCAGAATTTGAAAATTGTATTACTTCCCCACTTATGCTGAAATATTAATTGTTCTTTCAGAGCACCTACAAGAAATGCACTGTTATTGTAAACCGAGACTTGAAGGACAACCACAAAATGGTCACCTCCGGATGCATCCTTATTTCACGCGATGAAGTTTAAATGCACAATCTGAGATATATATTTTATTTTTATAGCTAAATCAATATCTGCTTGTTTAGAAACACCAAAGGAACATTTATTTTAAACTTGTTTCTTATGTTTTCAAAATAAAATATTTCTCATAACGTAGTATTGTTCGTTCTTTTTACACAACTGTTAATTTAACCATTGTGTGAAATAAAGAGAATATTATCCACTCCCTAGCATACGGTGGTAGTTTGCAAATGTAAATGCATCGATGAGATCCCTAGTTTGTGCATAGTTCAAAATTCGTGGTTAAGAAAATGGACATAGATTGATAAGGTGTTTTAAAAAATGGATGTAACTAAAATTGCGTGTTTAAAAAAATTATCATAACTTGAAAGGCGTATTTTAAGAAATGGACACAGTTCAAAAAACGCATGCAAGAAAATGAACATTTGTTCCCTTAAGCTATTTGTGCTATTGTCTATTCTCCTAAAGAGGCATTTAAAAGTCTCTTTCCTCAAATATGCATTTTGAACTATGTCCAAACTAAAATGCTCATTGACGACTAAAGTTAATTTATTTTTAATGTTAAAAATTAAAGTTTAAATTAGCAGAAGTTCTAAAAAATTTAAAAACAAAAACTATTAGTGAAAATTGCAGCAAAAGTAAGTATTGCTCGCATATATTTAACTATTTTCAAAGCAGTAAAATTTGCATCTAAACTCTAGTCAAGAACAGTTAGATGCAAGTTAAGAAAAAAACTGTTATCCCAATGTGAGAAAGCCTGTCTGCATTTAAGTGCACGCCAAATAAATATCAACATCGTAGCAAACATATATCAACATCGCCATCAGCACTATCGTTGCACAGTCTTTTTGCTTGCTTTCTTAATTTATGTGAAATGAGGAAAATAAAACTTATTGAATAAAAACTATTCCCATGAAATTAAAGAGTTGCAGCATATTTAAATAATACTTTCTGTTCATAATTAAAGAAACGGATGAAATAAAAAAAATATTGTTTCTTGCTGACTATTTTTGTCTTACAGCGAAACAAAAGTAAAACGCTTTATCTCGCATTTGATTTGTTGGCCATTTTTAGGAGGAAGCGCCATTTTTAGTGAACCAATCAAATTCAACGTCATATATAGTTGTTTCTTTTTCAAAAACAAATGTTCTCCTTTTCAGTGAAATATACTGCCAAGAAATCGATTGTTGCCAAGAAATTGATGGAACGAAATATGTCGTCTTTTTAATAGTTCCATGATATACACCGAAGAGCCATTACATTATGACCACCCTCCATCTATAACAATGGGCTCACCCAGGTTTTTATGGTTTTTCGCCCAGGAACAATGTTTTCATGGGGCACATTAGAGCCCATAATCCTCATGGAACAATCCCTGACGTCTGTAAGCTACTTGAACATAGTAGAACCAGGTTCACCCACTCATGGCAACAGTTTTTCCTACGGGGGATGGTGTTTACCAACAGGATAACGCACCACGTCATAAGGGTCGAATCGTTGACGAACATTCCAATGACTTTCAAGTCATGTCTTGGCCCCCAAATTCACCTGACCTGGCTCTTCGGTGTATATCGTAAAAGATAGCAAGAATTAAAATTCTGAATGATGTGTTTAACTTTTAAAAGCTTATATATTGTTATTGAAAGCATATTTGTATAATTTGATAACGAAATAAAAAAAAACAATTTGCAGTGGCGGAGGATTACTTAAATCCTAAGCCGAAATGGTCTTGCAATGGAGTATAGTCATCGTATACGCGGCAAATCGAAGCGTTACGTTGTTTTATCAATAGAATTCTCAAAATTTAAAGTTATTGATTAAAAACCGTAGTATTTAAGAAATGAAAATTATAAATATTTTAGTGGTTTATATTACTTTTGAGAATAAGTGGGACCGTATATATACAATCACTCTTTAAATAGCTAAGATAGCTAATTTCATTAACAACATGTCAAGTTGTATAAATATGTTGCGCAGCAATGAGAAAAATAGTACGCTCAAAACTACCAGAATAGAGTAACAATTACGACCTTATCTAACTGTGTGGATACACCAAATAAGCAAAGTTAATTTTTTTCCGTATTGAATTTCGATTAAATTACGGATAAAATATGATAATAAACGTGATAAAATTGTCAATTTTACAAAAAGAGCCGGAAATTTTAAAAGTGGTATAATTTCAGGTAACGCAATAAAAAGATAACTTAGTCTGATAGCCTCTATTTTTTTCAATAAACACTGGTATATACTGGTATAACACTGGTATATACACCGACATGCAACTAGGTTGCAGGTCGGCTTGGCGTTTTCATTTCTATATGAGCTATAGGCTAACATCTACCATCCTTTAAAACTATAAAAACTGCCTGCTTGAATATACTAATGCCTGAATAAGTAATTTAAATGTCAGGCTTTTCCAAGTTCTTAAAACAAGGCGTGGATGTAGCGGGTTCGATTCCCACTGCAACGTAGCTGCATCTATTTATTTATATTTTCTATTTGTCGCTACACATATGCAGACATTTTGTTGGAGCTTTTTTTAACGTGTACATTTTTATTTTAATAAACTGATTTATTTTAATAATTTATAAATAATACTTTTATAGAGTAGGATATTTCATATGATTTTGGACAGTTAAAATAAGATACCTTAGTCAGAGCGCGGATATTTTTTTCCATTACCATATCAGCGAATAAAACGTTATTGTTAAAGTTTTATTAGAATATATATATATATATATATATATATATAATCCTCACAAGTGACAAAAATCGATGTTTATTGTTGAACTATAAACTTCTGCCAACTTATTCTGCCTAATATATCCAAAATAAGCTGTATTTTCGTAATATCGAGTAATTATCGAATTATCGAGTAATTATCGAGTAATTATCGTAATATCTAGTTATTTAATATAAATTAGTATTCACGGCAATTTGGCTCAAATTAGTGTGAAATTCGTAAAGCAAATTCACCCCATGATTTGACTCAGTGCGCTACAAAATTTATATCAGTAATTTTTAACAATTGGAATTCATATAAAGTTCTCGTAGATTTTGCAAAAGATAATTTTATAAACAAATATTTTACGCAAGCTATAACTTTTATACAATCTGCCTTTGGTGACCCACTTATTTATCTTTCGAAATTATTTTGTACTACATATGAACCTTAATAGTAACGAGGCCGAGTGTACGGCAAAACTACATTTAAATATTCGAATTATTCAACTCTTTTTCTAATTCTAACACCTTAATTAGTCTTAAAAATTATATTAACGAAATTTTTCACCGTCCAGCTGTTATCGCGACTTTGCTCACGTGAAACGACATGGATTTTAATTTTAACTACACTGGTTATCATAAATTAAGGAAAATTCACAAAAATCGCGATAACTCAAGAAATTACACATGGAATTTTATGAAACTTACCCACAATATACAACACATAGTAAGGTATTAAACAACATAAAAAGAAATTATCAGACATTAATAGTAGTATAGAAANAATTCGTCAAGCAAATTCACCCCATGATTTGACTCAGTGCGTTACAAAATTTATATCAGTAATTTTTAACAATTAGAATTAAAATAAAATTCTCGTAGATTTTGCAAAAGATAATTTTATAAACAAATATTTTACGCAAGCTATAACTTTTATACGAGCTGCCTTTGGTGACCAACTTATTTATTTTTCAAAATTAATTTGTACCACATATAAACTTTAATAGTAACAAGGCCGAGTGTACGGCAAAACTACATTTAAATATTCAAATTATTCAACCCTTTTTCTAATTCTAACACCTTAATTAGTTTTAAACAATATTTTGACGAAATATTTCACCGCGATTTGCACACGTGAAACGACATGGATTTTAATTTTAACTATTTTCAAGAGATATCAGCGATATTGTCTAAATTCCTCGCATATTGAATTTTAAAAATAATTTTAAAATTTAACCGACATTCAGAAAATCACACAAACCACCATAAGTATGAGTTTTGCAAGTTCAGAAGGAAGCAGAAATATTAAACTCATTTCCATCTCAGTCGTGAAATAAGAAGGCATATAAGCAAAGAAAGAACTGATCTCAACTCTCCATTAAGAGGACGCCATATCTCCGGAGATACTTTTCATAGCAAATTCTCCCTCACCTGCATAAATAATTTAAAATTTAAAGTATGGAAAAGTGAGTTGAGGCAAACCTAGAGTAAGCCACGATGTCTTGAATATTGAAACGAAATTTTCAAAATATCAAAATGAAAATAAATTAAGTAAAGATAATTAAGAATTAGGCAACGAAGATGTACTCTTCCAATGATTTGTTTGCATTTTCATGTTTAGAAAATTTCTTTTTTACAAATGTAACTTCATAGCTTATTCTAGGTCTGTCTGAACTCACATTTTCTATAATTTAAATTTTAAATTTTGGTAAGGAAATGAAAGAGCCTTTTGCAATTTAAAGTTTCTTCAATGGTGTGGAGTCCTCTTAAGTGTAGTATATGCAAACCTCTCAAACTATACGACTTATGAATTGGTGCAACAGTAAGCAGCAGCACCTTAATACCGTTTATTTTTAAAATCAACCATTTTAGAAAGGATTAAAAATAAATCAAATTAGTTGCTTCGTAACTAAATTCTTATTTTTATGAAAATAAAAATATTCTAAATAAATACTGAACGTACATGTAATTATTCAACACTACTTTTGCGTAACTCTTTCGTCGGCAGGCCATTGTCCCTCCCCCCTCTATGCTTAGAATTCCAAAGCAGCTCTGAAATTGGAACAAAAAGCAAATTCCTTTAAAACCTGTTTATTTTATCTTAATAATAATCAATTGTAATCTATAACCATCTAATATATATAATTCTCTTACGTGGCTCCCAAATTTTGGTTGTATTTTCTTTCCGCCGGTGGCAACGTTTGCTTTGTTTTGTTTACGTTACTGTTTCTCTTACACGGCGAATCGACCAATGATTGCCGCTAAAAATGCCAAATCTAGTTGAAGTGGCTCAGCATATAGCGCTTTTAAAAACGGAAACTGAAATAACCAGAGAGCATAAGCTGCGGCAATCTCATACTATTTAGCTAGGCAGAAGTGAGTAGTCTTTGTCGATAGATCTCTATTTTAGT